CATACTGTTTTTTTTTAATGTAGATTGTTAAAAAATAATTTTACTTAAAAAAAATAACAGAAGAATATTGTAAAACCTTACTATCACAGAGTATTTGTGGGAAGGAGAATTTGAAATTATGAAACCTTAAGTTCAGTATTTTAAAAGTTTTATTAATTGCAAGTTCATCCAGCAATTCAAAATGAGTTTGTCCACTACAGAAATGGAGAAAAGCTGCTTTAATTAATAGATAAGCATAGTTGTAATTAGCATGTCAACTTTTTGTGCGCAAATGGATGTTTCCAAAGTATTGAAAGTATTTATTTTTTCTCACTTTAGGAGCATTGACAATTTCCAAACACTCTTGTTAAAGCATTAATTTTCTTTAAATCATCCTTTTAAATAAACTTCAGGGCATCTGTGTGAACTGTCAGCAATTCTCTTTTAGTGGACCCCAATTAGTTTATTTTCTGAGATTTTTCACTTACAGAATATCTTATTTTCTAATATTCATATTAAATTGTATGCTATGTATTTTGAGACCATTTAAAGTACCATGTATGTTCTCAGAAAAAAAATTAACGTCGGTGCAAATATCAACGTGCACTTATTAAGGAAGAATAACAACAGAAGCAATTATACTAAGACTAGTTAGCAAGCATTTTTGTTTGGTTGGTTTTTTACTAAAGCAGAGATTTTAAGTTGTTCTGCAGATGTGGATGTAAGAATCCATAAGAAAAATCTATAAGTAGACATGTAAAATATGTGTACACGCACACACACACACACACACACACACACACACACACACCTGCACACACACAAATAGGTTTGTTTTTCACAGCCCTTCCAAAGGAAGAGTTAAGAAAATCTGTAGGTGAATTGCTCTCAGGAATTTCCTTTGTTTTTGGAACTTTCTGCAATTTCCAAATCTGCAACAGATAAGCAAAAACTAGATATAAACTCACTAATAACCGATGCATTTAACATTGTTCTTTAGTTTCTGTATTCACTTTCCAACAGTGGGTACCACTGGTTGCCTATGTTTATATACTGGTCTCCCTAACTTGCTAAGTTTCAACATAGGATAAAAATCTTAATTTGGTTGCTATTGATTAGAACTTATTATAAAAAAGAAAAAAATCGATATGTACTTTGTTTCCAAAGTCAAGTATAAAATGCATAAATCATTATTTGTGTTGTTTATGTCAAAAAATGTAGTACCATCAAGATAGAGTAACAAACTATTTTACTAAGGTCTCAATCAAGTTGAATAAAATGCCCAAATACTGCAATTTAGGAAGGTATCAAAGAACAAATAGGTAGTTAGGATATAAGGGGCCAAAATTGCAGATAGCTACAGAGATAGAAGTAGATTAGTGATTGCCTAAATCTAAGATATAGAGGGTTTAAGGGATGACCTTAAGGGGTGCAGCGGTTCTTTGGGGGGTAATGTTTTAAAATTGATTGTGGTGATGAATGCATAACTCTGAGTATACTAAAAGCTTAAAAAAAAAAAAAAGATCACAGAGAATGACTTTAAGATGGTCATTACATTCACTGCTATTTTTTCCCCTAGGTGCATTTGCTGACTGGAGTGTGAATAGTAAGCCCAAACAAAGCAGTAGTCAAATAATTATTGTTGCAGTCTCACAGGAACATAGTCTCATAGGAGTCCAAGACTGAAGTGCAGGCCTAAAGCCAACGGGACTGATTTTGGAGAAAAAGGAACCATAGAGAAGTGAGACATACATTCTGTGAGCAATTCTCCATTGTCACGAATGTTAGAAAAATGCAGAATTTAAGGCAAAGAAAATTACAAGAGACAAAGAGAAAGAATATTAAAACTGAATTCAGCAAGAATATATAACAACCCTAAATTTATATGCAACAAGTAACATAGCCTCAAAATACATACACTGAAAACCATCACAGTAGCAGCAGCAACAGCAAAAAACCTATAATCAAAGTTTGAGAATTTAACATCTTTCATGATAACTAATAAAAGTCACTAAGTATTACAGAAGATTTGCAAATATAATTTACAAAATTAACCTAAAAAGCATAGGGATGTAACAATTCTTTTAATAACTCAATGGCAAAATAAATAGAAATAATAAAAAAAATGAATATTTTGAATATTTGAGTATTCAATCTTTTGAATAAGAAAAACATGACATTATAATGTAGATTAACCAAGGTTTAGAAATTTATAATCTTAAAAGCATAAAAAACTGACAAATCCACAATCTAATTATTAAGCTCAAAGAGTCAAAAAAAAAGGTGGAAATGAAACAAAAGGAGACAAAAGTGAAAATGAAACATGGAATTAATAAAATAGAAAGTAAGTATACAATAGAGAAAATAAAATGGCCAAGGTTGTTCCTTTGAAAAAACTAATAGAATTTATAATCATATTACAAATCTAAGGGAAAAAAGGCACAATTTAGGATCAGGAATGAAAAATTAAAAACCAATAACATAGACGTTCAAGATAATGAGTATACTATATTTCCATGACAATAAATTAACACAACTTATTAAAGCTGCTATAAGGAAAAATACTAAATTTAAATCTGAATTATCTTATGTCCATTAAATACATTGAATCTGTAAAATCTTCTCATTGGATCGATAAGACTCATGCAGTGAGCAAATGATGAAACAGGAGGCCTTTAACTCCTGTTCCTCCCAATAAACAATAATATCACAACCATCCGCAGACAAAAATGCCTTTGTGAGAACTTTAGGATCCAGATAGGAAGTTATGAAATGCCAATGAAGGCCAAGACTAAGGAGAATTGCATGATGATTTCATGATGATTTCAGTCAGAATAGTCCTTACTTTTGATGCAAGAAATAATTGGTGAAATGAGGCAGAAATGAGGCTTTTGAGACACTGGTTCTATTCTACATCTTAATATATGTGGTGGTTATAGAAGTGTATTCACTTTATAAACATTCACGAAACTGTATAATTAAGATTTGTACACGTCACCGTGCATTCTACTTGATTAAAAATAAAGTACAAAAAGTGATGTTATTGAAATCAGAATGTGGAAACACCTAGTAGGCCACCCAAACTTGTGTGTATGGCACTAGTGGTGGTGTAGGGTATGGAGGGTGGGAGGTAGGGGTAGTAGAACAACAAGGACGATGACAACAACAAGAACAATAATAAATAAGCACTAGTCATCAGCATAACAGAGGGGAATGAGGGAGAGAGAAAAGAAAACCACCTTCCAATCTTTCGAAGGTGCTGTAACTACTGTAGTTCATTAAGAAGGAAATAGCTCAGTGGGGCTAAGGTATTTGCCTAAAATTACAGATATCTATATAGTAGAAATGTGACTAGAACCCAGTCAAGATTCTTAACCCTGAACTTTTTCACTGCATTAAAAAATAACAATAAAAATTTAGATTAAATACATCTCATTTTGAAAGGAAGGCCATCCTGTGCCAAAGGAAGGACAGATTTCCAAGTTTAGTTTGGTTTAATAATAATACATATCTTTACCTGCACAAATAAACCATCAGAAGGGAAAAATATTTATAGGCCATAATACTGAGTAATTACTAAAGACCAGATGTTCCTGATGATCCTGATTGTTTTATACTAATAACTTTTCCCTCAGACGTTACTATTCTATTCCATGGTAAAGTTATGTGTCAGTTTTTCTCAGTTCCAGTAAGTCTTTTGCAAATTAAAGAAAAAAAAAAGTTGGAAAGAATAGGCCTTGTCTGCCAAAGATAGTAACAGTATGGGGGCACTGATTTTCTGTGTCCCCAAATTTCTCCAACCTGCCTTGAACCTTCTTTGCAAATCATTCCATCTTATTCTTCAAAGAGTTTGGAATTGCTAGACTTGGAGCCAAAAGAGCTTTAATTATTTTATTATAGCATTTTGTAAATAAAAATATGTTTGCTGAACATAGATGTATATTACATTATTTATCATATTTATATTTGCATATCAGATTAGTTTTTAGGTGGGTTGTTTTTTTCCCCCCCAAAAGGGTGAACTCTGTGATCTCTGAATCAGGAAAATTTTCTCCTTATTGAATTGATCTCCCGCATTGATATTTCTCACATTCCCTGTGAGGCCTTTATGGAATGTGTCCCATTTCAGGCCAGAACTTCTCTAGTACTGCTTTGCTGACTTGTTTCCTATTTTAAATGATGGGGGAAAGCTTTTTATGTGAATCATGTAAGCACAAAATTTGATAAACAGAGTGAGAGGGGAAAAAAGCTTAAAGACACATTAGTCAACAAAACCAATGCTTATGCAATGCACACATGCACTACTGTGCAATCAACTCAAAGTGGAAAAATAAAAATCCCTCTCAATTATTGGATCTTATACAGAGTCTCATAAAGAATATCCCTCCTTTCCCCATCGCCCTCCCCCACAGTCTGACTAGAGCTCAGAAATGATTTGAATCTATACATCAATGCAGCAGAAAAAGATTCATGAGTAGAGATCATTGGATTTACTCCATTGTGTAAATCTTTGGTGTGTTCCTACTCTAGTCCCTTTATGTGCAGTATTTTGCCTTCTTGGTTATAAATCCAGGGTATCTGGTTTCATCACAGCTAGGTTCATCTACAGCAGGGTTACTTAACCTTATACTATTGATATTTTCAATGAGATAATTATTTGTTACAGAAGGCTGTTAAACATCCTATGATAACAGCATCTCTGGCCCTCTACCCACTATATGCTATATCAGCTCTCCCCCTATACCCAGTTTTGACAACTGAAAGTGTTTTCAGACATTGCCAAATGTCCTTGGGAGGCAAAATGGTTCCCAGTTGAGAACCACTGTCCTACAGAATGAAAATGTACTATGGAAAGACAGAGGAAGAAGAAAGAGGACATTTCTAACAAGAGTATTTTAAGATGTTTTAAGCTTTCTGGAAGGATTTTTATATCTAGATATTTTAGACAATTTTTCTTTTAAGAGAGGTAGGAGCTGCAGCATTGTATCCATCATTTCAGGTCTGATCTATTGCCATGGGCATCATTCTACCTTTCTCTTCTTTTGGAGGTTGGCTTGCAATAATTTCAGTTTCTTTTGAATTTCAGTCAGAATACCTATTTTCTGCTCCAAAATGGACAATAGCTGGGTAATGCAAAAATAAACATCATAGTTTACCCCATCAGTTCTCTCCTGGATGTTGTCCTCCAGCCCCTGGCCTGATTCTTTCCATGAGCTCGTTGTATTTTCCATTGATGGGGTGGATAACGTTCCAATTTCGTTAGTCTCTTCCTCTTCCTCACTCTGTATACAAGGTATTTTAATAAATTCCTCTTTCCGAAGGGGCATTTCTGAATTCCCAATGTGATTTTCCAACATCCTTGGCACTTCTTGTCCAACCTGATAGAGACAACGATGGTGGGACCTTAAATTTAGAGTTAATTCTTTTACTCTATTTGCATACCTTAAGGTGTTGAGGGTGTTTTCACAAGAAGCCATCCCTGGAGAAATAGTAGCAATCATGCAAGTGAAGGAGTTCTGGCCGATAAAGGAGTCCCGGAGCACCTGTGTGAGTTTGCTGGCTCTAAACGGGGTGTGAGACTTGTTCTGACCCAAAGCTCGGATGCATTCCTTGAGCGCGAGGAGACTCTTATTAATCTCCGCCCCCTCCAGCTGTCTTTGCCGGTTGACCTTGGCAGTATCTGCTCCCCTTTCATTCCCAGCTAAGTCAACAAGAGAAAACTTGCCATGCAGTTTCCCTCGCGACTTTAGGATGATCTGGAACACGGCGTGGCTCCTGGAGGAGTGGGCATTGACCGATGTCTGTCCAGAAGTCCGGCAGCTGTTCCCCAGTTCCACGAGGTTCAGCACGTCCTCCACACAACACACCTCCTGCTCCTGCAACCCGACTACCTGGATTTGCTGATTGCCATCCTCAAGGACCTGCAGCTTCTTCTTCCAGTTCAACAAATCATATACTTTGCCCCCATAAATCTCAAAAAACGTCCCATAGACTTTGAGGTCCAACTTCTTATAAACCGAAGTTTTGAGCAGAAGGAAGACATCCTGCGCCACCAGTGAGTAAATGCCTTTCGAACAATCTTGGTCCCTTCCTGAAAAGGCTCCACCCATGGTGTGTGTTTTCCCACTGCCTGTCTGCCCATAGGCAAAACAGGTGGCCATGCCCTTGCGGAAGATGGACTCCACCAGCGGCTGGGCGGTGAACTGGTACACTAACTCGTTGGAGGCCGTGTCATCGAAGGCATGGTCGAAGCAGAATGTCTGATTTTCCAGGTAGCGAGTGAGGTCCACCTTCTGCTTAGACTCATGCACCATGACCACATTGTGCGAAGGGATGGTGATGATATCCAGGTCCTTCATGGTGGTCTCCTGCTGGTTGAGAGGCCGCTTCCTCACACAGACATAGATCCGACGGTCTTCCCGCGGCTCTAGGCTGGACATCTTGCTGCTGTCCAGCTGCCTGCGGTACTCGTCAATCATGCGCATGATCTCGTAGTTGGGGTTTCCCGTGTGGACGTTGAGGGCGCGTTGGGCTCGGATCTCCAGCTGCAGCCGTCTGCGCTTCTCCCGCTGCTTTTGCAGTTTCTCAATTTCTCGGAGGCAGGGAGACTTTTTCTGCTTCATCAGGCAAGGTCTGCTGGGGACTTTCACCGTCAGGCGGCTCTCCTCTGAAGGTGTTTCGTTTTTCTGTGGGATCGTAGCAATCCAACTCGTAGCCATACATCGATCTCGGATGGTCGAAGAGGGCGCTACAGACAAGGAAGCCAATGATCTGGATGGTTTGGGGTGTTCAGCAGAGGCTAGTGCTGGATTCAGAAGGAATATAGTCTCTAGATCAATTTTTTTGCCCTTTTTCACTCCTTTTTCGACCCACTCCACCGTGACGCAAGAGTTTTCTCTTTTGAACTCTGTGATCAGAGCAAGGTGGATCCGCCCGTCGCTGCGCTGGATCGCCACGCAGATGCCCACTTGGATGTCTCGGAAGTGGGGCTTCACGGTTTTCAAGGACGAGAGGCTCGGGGCGACAGGGAGGCATAACTGGCTGGCCATGGTGAATGATGGAGGTGTCAGGGCTCACTTCTAGAGGTCCTTGGGGTTGGAGCAGCAGGACCTGAGCCTAAGCCAGCCTGAATTTCCCAGAGCACTGAGCGCACTTGCGTTTGCACTTGCCTTTGTGAGCCCTGAGTACCAGGGCTCCGCCTGGGGCCACTCACGTCACAAAGGGAACGGGGAGAAGGGCGACAGAGCTGAGGGCCTGTAGGTGAAAGATGGACGGAAAAAATCACTTTTGTGGTGCTAACTGCTAGTGCAAAGGCAGCTGGAATAGCGGAATTGTTCTCTACCACTGAGAGTGTGGGAATCTGAATTGGGAGTAAGGTGTATATTCCATGGACCTTTGTGCCTTAGCTTTAGAAACATCCATTCTTCCCTGAAATCTTAACCTGCAATCTCAAAGGCTTTAGTTAAGAACAGGTGACTTCCCAAACTTGAACCCTCCAGTGGAGGGAACACGTGAAAGTAGAGCTGTTTGCAAATCACAGTTTTCTAAGGACAGAATTCCAGAGAGACTCTCTCAAACGCGCCACCCTTCTCCCCCAACCCCCACCTCAAAACTTGTTTAACAGCCATAATTTAAAGTTAGCCCTGTGTAATGGGCTTTCTCATTATAAAATCAAATGAATTGGATGCAGTCGGTTCTTCTGGTAATTTGCTGACAGGGAACTTCCTTTGGTGCAGCATCTGGGTTTGCAAACAGGAGATGTTTATCACGTTCCAAGTGGCTCCGACAACTGTAAAGTGAATTTTGTTGAACTGTAGTCACCAGTATTTTTGAGATTTTTCAGTAATTACCTTTCCAAACTCATTCAGTAATTACACTTCTGGCCTCATTATCTATAATTTGGAGAAAAGGGAGAGACATTTGATGGAAAGAGGTAATTCATCTTACACCCTTCCTTACTCTAAAATTGTGTGTGTGTGTGTGTGTGTCTGTGTGTGCATGTGCGAGTGTGTGTGTTCCTTAGTTGTTTTGAGTGGAGTCAAGGGGTGGGAAATGGGAAGACGGCTAGATAATCGGAGGCAAAATATATTTTGGCAAGACTGCAAATTTTTCTGTAGGATGATTTGCTTGCAGACAACAACAAAATGACATCAACTGCCAGATAGGCCAATATTGTCTCTTGGGCTGTGAGTCTGGTGGTAATTACAGTGATACCACGGAAGTAGCATGGAGTAGCATGGTGTCCTTACAACCCTACTTATGACCCAGTGGCATTATAGAAACACATTCTTATTATAAACTGACTTCTTTTTAATCGAAAGTTCATCTCGTCAGTAAGTTTAGTAAACTTTGATTATAAAAAGATAGTGTGGGGCTATTGGATAAGTTGGATAAGCCTGCAGTACTCATTTCACTTGTCCTTTTATGATTATTAACTTTTTTATTTGCCAAATTATCAATATTTAAAGTTGTGCTTTTAATCGGTTGTTTTCCCTTGGTTTCAAGAGCATTATGTGAATGTTGTTATTCCCTCTATATTTTAGTAGGTTAATTTACATTTTTCAAAATCAACAATGCATCTCTGGCCATGCCATCCTGAACAAGCCCGATCCCTTCTGATCTCAGAAGCTAAGCAGGGTCAGGCCTGGTTAGTACTTGGATGGGAGACCACCTAGAAAGACCAGGTGCTGTGTTAGTACTTGGATGGGAGACCACCTAGGAAGACCAGGTACTGTAGGTGTAAAAATTTTAAAAAATAAGGGATTGTAAACTGACAAGGTCTTTGTAATCAGTGAGGTCAACCAAGAGTCGCCTCGCCTAAAAAAAAAAAAAAATAGCATCGATGGTCTAGAGTTTTTAATAGTTTTCTTTTTTTGTCTTTACTTTTGAAAAATCTAGGTCTCTCTTAAAATTATGCAGACTCTACCTCTTCCTACATTAATGATATTTTTACATCTAAGTCAATGAATTTTGTGGCTAGACAAATGGCTAGGTCCATGGTGGTAGTATAAAAATCTAGCCTACTCATAAAGGTTTTTTTAGCTATTTTAGAGTTTGTTTTCCTTGATTCTTATCTCTCTTATACAGTTTTCTGAACATACTTCATTTGATCCCACAGTTTAATTATATATTTATAATATGATACTATTATATAATATTATTATAATATTACATATATAATATATGCAGAAGAGACACCTTTTAGGTAGTTTTAATTGCTTTTAGTAGCTTCAACATCTACCCACTGACAAAAGCCTAAAAAAGAACTTTGTCTTTTCCCCTGTCCTCAGCCAATCCTAATTGGAGTTAGGTAGTCCTTTCTCAGCATCTAGAAATCTATAACTGTGACATCTTTTAATGTCCCAACCAATTATTACCTTGTTTCCTTGGGCAACCTCATTCTATCAGAGGATCAGTTTATTTCTCACACTGTCCCTAGAGTTATTTTAGCAGGTAATTTCTTAATAATTCCCTGCCCACAAACATTTCAGTAACTCTTGGTCGTCATAATTGATACTGTACAAATTCCAGGAGGGCACATGATGTACATTGCCATCTTGTCTATGTTTTCATTTTTGAGCTTTACCACTGTCCACACTTAAGTTGAGCTATACTGAAGAACATGAGGTCCTTCAAACACAGCATTTTCTTTCAGATTACTATTTTCTGGCCCAGAGGTTCTCTGTGAGGATACATAAAATTCACCTATAGGACTTGTTAAAACACAGATGGCTGGGTCCCACCCCAGAAATTCTGATTTAGTAAGTATGAGGCAGGGCCAAGAATTAGCTCGTCTGAAAAGTTTCCAAGTGATGCTGATGGCGATGCTGCTGGTTTTAGGACCACACACTTAGGAATTACTGTGTCAGCCCTCTGACTAGAATAGCTTATCTCTACCTTCTAATTTCTTCAAACTCTTCAGTACCTATCTCAAATATCACTGCCTGTAGAAAAATCTCTCTGACCCTGTTGATAATAATCATTCAAAATAACATTAAACTGAGACATCCTTTCTAAGAAATAGTATCTATTATTGGTTGGGTTGGTTTGATCAGGGGAACCCAAAAGCTTTATTTTCACTAGTGACTATAAAAAAAACTACTATAGGTAAACATAATAATAATCTGTTTGTAGAGAGTCATTTGGGTGCTTTTACAATTTTGATAATCTGGAACTTAATTTGCAGCAATGTCTTTTTTTTTTTCTTCTACTGGTACAAAATTCAGAAGTCAAATTCCATCTATATAACCATCTCATTTTTATGGAATTTAAGGCAACACCGTGAATCTTTAAAATGACATAAGTGTAGTATTTTTTAAAATGTGAAGACCTGGGTAGAAATTATAGTATCATTCTTAGCCATGGCCTGGATGACCATTTGATAGATAAGCAGTTTCTCCCGATTAGAGACAGAAGCCACCATACTATTTTTTGACTGCATATAACCATGAGATAAGTGTATAGGAAATGCTTATACTAAGTTATTTCCTATGCCAAAGAAATTCTACCCTCAGGTGTTCACCACTTACACATTTTGTTTCATGTACCTACTAAAAAACTCATGCCTTGACGGACAACTAATATATCCTTTACATTTCAAGTCTCTTTTTTCCAAAAGCCTAATAAGTATCAGATGTAGCCCCACAAGATAGGTAGTGTGGAAGGCAATGAGCATAGGAAATGAGTTTAGTAATTTTCATTTATTAATTATAGGTATATTCCCTGTCAGAGCTACTTTTCAGGACAGAATGTGATTTCTAGTCTCATTTTAGATACAAACCTCCCAGGACAAATGCATCAAATATGTGCCTTTCCAGCACCATTTTTAATGGACATCTAGCAGGTGTTTGGTCTGTTTGATCACCTTGGGGGTTCTGTACTTTTCCAATATGTGGATACAACCTGAGATTGATTTAGTTCTTCAGAGGAGCTCAGTAGATTTTCCCAAATCTCTTTGAAGAAATGGAATTCATCATTTCCAATTTAAAAGTTATTTTTTGAAGAGTAAAGTGGTATCTTACTAAGTGTATACCTCTAGAAAACAAGGAGAAATTTAACTTTTAGATTGAGAATAGCATTTTACCATTACAGTTAGTATCTCTGTCTTCTGACATTTCACAATTTTCCCCATGCACTATGCTTAACCAGAAGAGTTCTTTAGCTCACTCACCGATTTAATAGGCAAGCATTGTTTCTATGACAACTTCAACTCAGTAATCTTTCACAGCTTACTAAATATCATTGCTTGCTTGAGAATATTTACATGATTCCTATATATCTGTTGATTGTGGAAGTTAGCCTATGAAGTTGGCCGAAATGGTAAAACTAACAGTTGTTGGTGTCTCACTTTAAACCCATTTGATTTGGTCAGCTTTCGGCTTTCAATTTTATTTAGCATGCTGAAGGGAGAGACTTGAGCTTTGCTATAGTGTTATTTGCTTGTAATTCACACTACAACAACAGAAATTATTCTGCTCACGAGCAAGGTAGGTGCCTTTATAGTTCAGCTACAGCTCTTTAACTTGAAAGCCATGTGCTATATTCCTCGACTTTAGATTCTTCTTTAGATTATGCAATGTAGGGTATTTAAATAAATTTGCTATGGAACAAAAAAATAATAAGGGATACATAATACTTGTATGAGAAATAATTGTAGGAACTTGGATATACTCCTAGGCGAATTTTGAGAGACAGACCCCATAAAAGGCTACCCTATAGAAGAGTAACTTAATTTGTTCTATTTGATTTAAGGTGTGTGAACATTTAACAAGTCAAATGCTAAGCCATCAAGACTCCACTCAGCATAATTTCCCTTGAAAAGCATTCCTTGACAGCCACAGCTTTTTCCCTCTACCTCAGTCATAGCTGCCTTCTTCTCAATTCTCACCTTTATTCCATACTTATTGACATTGCACTTACCATTTTTTAATTAAAAGAATTTCTCTCTAGGTAAATAAGAACTTCGAGAAAAAAAGAATACTCATGTTTGTATATCCACTGTCTGGAATATGGACTTACTAATTTTTCTGGAACTATAAAAATTAGCACA